GTCAAATACGAACTGTATTTATTTTTAATTAGTTAGTAGGTACATACCTATATTACAGATTATTTATTTATTTATTCATTCATTTATCTATTTATTTAGAATAATTAATATATAAACGGGTTGAACCCAATTCAAAATATGATAAAACAAATTACAAATGACACTGAAACACATTAAATGCATAAAACATTCACAATTTAAAAAAAATTATATTTACAATCTATACATACAATAAGCACATTCGATAATAGAATGAGAAGCACGTAATGATAAATAATCAAATTATAAAAATAATAAATTCTAGGTAGGTATATAATATGTAAAAAACATAATATTTTAACATGATAACAGTATATAGTAATAATTATTGTATATATTATATGAATATTAATCGAGGTATACTAATTCTTTTTTTGCCGTTTTTGTTTTTATATTTTCTAAAATATGTCGAAGATTTAAAATGTCATTTACCAACAGCCTCTTTCCGTACTGGGGATTGACTATTTCTGGAAGTAAGCATTCTGTATAAAACTCTAAATAAAATTTGATATTATGCTTATGTAATTACATAAAAATCCAATTATGTACTATAAAATATAAATTAAAAAAATCATGTTCAATATTACACTTTTAACTTCTCAATCATTTTTTCGCGCCAGAAAGAATCATCTTAACTAATTATTTATATCTCTATCCAATTGGCCGAATAAACGACGAAATAACAGGAATTTCGTTTTGAAATATGCATTTGTCTCTGAACTTGGTAATAGTAAGTATGGTCCACTTTTAATTCCATTCTCCCGTCTTCATTGAGACGACAGAAAGTTAACTGAAATTAAATATTATAATAAAAATATTTTACATTTTACACTTAGAGAGTTAGAGCAATCAATGTATTGGTTAGCAATGAAGTTTGTTTTTTATTTTTTGTATCTTTGTGCAAGGTTACTCACAACGTTACCCATAAGATGTTATTAGTGTAATTTAAAAATTTGAGAGTAAATTCACAATAATATTGTATGAGCGTCGGAAGTAAGAATTTAAACTTATAAAATGTTCAATTGTTATAGGTAGCTAAGTAGTGATAATTGAACACAGTTTATCATAATTAGTTTAAACTGTAACCAAAAAATTTCAATATTGTATAAAATTTCAATAATTTTTTTTTTAAATAGATATTTTAAGTTAAAATGTGGACGAAATTAGATAATGAAACGGACAATAATGATTTTAATTATATTTTTTTAAATTTAAAAATATTATTCTTGGGTAGTTGGTCCTTGAAAATCTTAAAGTATATCAATTGAAATATTTTAGGAGAATCGTTTTAAACACAATATAATAATTAATAAATAATAATACTCTTACTTTTTTACTATGTATAGCTTCTAAAAATGTCTTAGTGTCTTTTACTGCATATGGACATTTAATTTCAACTATAAAATCATTATTGACAAGACCGTCTATAAATTATAAAAAAACTAATTTAGTTGTATTGATTCAATTAATATTTATAATTTAGTACTAAAATATATTTTACCAGGAGAAGCTGCTAAATAAAGAAAATGTTCATCAATAATAATTCCATATTATTCACTGTGCAATTAAATTGTTTTTCCAACGCGAGGATAGCTTGTGATTCTGTGGCTTTACCATAATCTGTAATCTTTAATTAAATGTAAAAAAGTTAGTGTCGATGTAACCAATAAAGACGGATGTTACAACGAATTACCAGTTTTATATAACAACGAGACATTCTATATGGCTCCAAAAACACATTCTTTACAAAAATATGGGACGCAAGTCAACTGCAATTCATTATACCCACCGGCATTGAATTTAAATGGTAATTGGTATGGATTTTTCCCAAGTGTCAGAGAAATATTAACGCTACAAAAGTTTAAACCAAATACAGCGTGGGCATGGACATACAAAAACCAAGATTTTTTTTTGTCCGGGTTGTATACAAAAGATACAATGAAAGCTTTTCAACAACATACTATATATCCCCAAGAAGTGGACGCCGTAAAAACAATATAATTAGACATTCCATGGGATATGAAACGGTAAACCAAGGTATTCAATTTAAAAATTTAATAGACCAACATACGATTGGGCAAATGGTTGAAGATAAGTTATTTAAATTATGGTGTTGGTTTACAACAGTCGGAACTTTTGTGTCGGGGCTAATGGGAATATTCTTTGTTATAAAAGTAATATTAACACTCGTCGAGACGGGTATTAATATTACTTTCTTGTACCAAACCTTTGGTTGGAATGCAAAACTCTTAGCACAATTTTTTTCAAGTATCACCCATAACTTAATATTTCGATCTCATAATTATTGTTTATTATAGGGCGATGTGCAACCTGTAAATCTTTAATCATGGTTATATCTTTAATAACATACGATTTTAATCAGTTTTATCACTGACCTTCACGACTATATCTATGTCCTAAATAGGTATCTATAAGGTGTATAGAACCGGTTTATGTTTAGATTAGTTGCCCATATTTACTCATTACTGAATAAAGAGTAATAAAGGGTAATCGAAATCATAAACAAAATTGTTGTGCAACATCAAGAATTGATACAAACACAGATATTTTTCATCGATTATTATTATCTTCTGGTCCTCTTTTAAGTATTTTGAAGGAAGTAAAAAAAAAGACGAATATTACATCCTCATGTAAAAGAACTAATAATTTTAAATAGGTACCTATAGTGATAGTAGCGATGACAATGAATATAATTTATTTTTTTATTTTATTTACAATAAAAATGCTTGGAATAAAAACTTTTGAGTATTAAATGTTTTTAAATGTTTTTATATATTGTTTTGGAAAATGTTTGACCATTGTGAGTTTTGGCCACCATTTTTTACTTTTGAACCACTATGCGCCGTCACCCCGGGTACTTACTGCGTATTACCTAACCGGGTTTTATCCCCCATAGGCTGTATAGAATAGGCAACATTTTTCGGAGTCCTAACTTAAAACGTCTACCTTTAAAAGCGGAACTACTGTATAAAATCATTCCCTCCCCCCCCCAAAGGGGAAAATATAAATACGCCACTGCTCCACACTACCCTACAAGTACGATATAATTCTTAAATGATACATACCTTAAACCTCCCATGACAAATTAAATTAAAATTCCATGATACTTACTGAATAGAGCTATGCTTATATCACGCGTAGTCAGCCCTTGAGCCTTATAACCGATTTGGCAGGATCGTTGGCCCCTATGAATTTATTGCCCATTCGTCGGGAAAACAGAATAAGAAATTATAATGGACAAGAAACCATAAACCTATAAACTAATTTAGTTAGTTAATAGGTGGAAATATGCAGGAAACGACCTGAAATGGTCCTCTGGGGTCGGCCACTAAAAATACCGGGTACCTAATCATATATTATACCTACTTTAATTCTTATCTATGTTACCTAATGTTTTCAGCATATGACATATATTATATATTTAAATGTCTATGGTTTTCACTTTTCAGCACTATCGGTGGTTTTATTTGGCTTCACATTTAGTATATTTTGTGACCGCGATATAGAAGCTCATTTCCTGTCCATTACATGTTAGTACCATGGGTGGTCTGCCCTGGCCAGGGTGCTATAAACCAGGTAGAAACCCGGGCCCCTATTCGTATTTATAATACAGTCCCCGCTTACCATTTTCGGGCCCTTTCTTAAATTTGGGGAACTATCGATTCCATCAATGTAGCATGGATTTCATCATTATCGACTTCGCCAGCTCGGGTATTCTAAAAACAACCTATTGATTCCGCCACCCACCAACTTTTACCTCAACTTAGTACCTGCTGCAGCTGTCTATACCTAGCTATTTCTGTTATATTAATAATAATATATCAACAATATAATTTAAATATAATAATTAATACAATGCAATATTAAATATACAAAACAAATATACTTTAAAGTTGTACAATATTATACATTTTTTATCATGAATACATTATAGGTATACATATTACATATACGATGTCGTCAAATGTCAAAAGTTGTACAGTATTATTTTTACTTTCTTGATTTTTAATCAAGTAAGTATGGTAATTGAAATTAAAAAAGTCTGAATTTTGAAAACTTCAAGAATTTGTGTTAAATAATAAAATAATTAAATAATTAAAATGTAAAAATGTAAAAAATTGAAATAGTTTAGTAATACCTTAAGTTAAAATTATTATAATTTTATTGTATAAAAAAAAATGTACCTACATTCAAAGCTATGTAAATAAACTAGTTTACTCAAATAACAATATCTTAATTACAATTTATGTTCATTCAAAACTATGTAAATAAACAAGTTTACTTAAATAACAATTTCTTATTATTTGCATAATTCACATTTCCACTTCTTTGATGTTGGCTTGCGTTTAATTCCCATGACATATGCATTATGGTACTAAATATTATGGCAATTTTCCTGTGTACACAACTGATTTATCCCCTTACAGGTACAATATTTATAAGGTTCCTTTGCAGTATCAGTATCAGTTTCAGTATTTTCCATATTATTTTTTACTGACGAAGTTTCAGTATTAGTAAAATACCGCCCTAGAAATAACAATGTACTTATAATAATAAATTATAATCTTAAATCTGATATCTAATATTGTAAAGAAGTAATGTGCCAATTACCAAATGGTTTTAAAACAAAGAACTTTAATAAATAAGTATCTGAACTTGGAATCTGCAATTAACGTTTGGTAGAGTTATATTTACACCAAACAGAACTCCTGTCAACTGCTTTAAATTACTATCTACCACAGTCCATTTGACATTTTAAACCCAACCACTAACAAACAAATTATACCTATGAATCCAAACTGTTGTAAGCTTTAAATTCTTCTAATGTATAAGCACTTTTAGTCAATACTAATTGAAGGCACTATGTTTAAATGAGTTGTCTGTCCAAAGTATACAATTGTCTTTCAACAACAAGTATGGATCTTGGGAATTTATCAATTTTATTTTGTGTAAATACCTTGTTTCAGTTCGGAGCCAACAATTTCAGTTTCAGATATTGACGGCTGAAGATAACTCAATAGTTTATCATTTTTTAATCTCAAATGTATTGTTTTGTATTCAGATCTATTTAACATAAATAATGTATACTTATAAATAGTATAAAATTAAATATAAATAAAGGATAAGTACTTACAGTTGAAAATAGGCTCTTACAATTTGCCCTTTTAAGTGTTTTGTGGGAATCGCATCTCTATTTAACCGATAACTACATTTGCTATAACACGACTTTTGAAAGTGTCTGGAGCATATGGAGCGATGTGGCGAATATTCATCAGCCCGCAACCCACAAGCATTCAACCACACATTTCTTTTCTCTTCATTTGTTGGAAATCTATAAATTTAAATATGTTTTTAATGAAGTAGTTAAAAGCAGCAATTGATTAACAAAATAAAAATTGTATCAAGTCATTCAACAGTGTAGAATCTACACTACCAAATATATGGAAATAATTAAGCTATTAACATATTTTATACCCTAAAATACTAATTACTACCTACTAATAATAAGTAGCTATTTGGGCTACACAGTTATAAAAGTAAAAACTAAATAATAACACTAAAGTATGCTTACCGATGCAATCTAAGATGAGGTACTTTAAATGGCGTCTTCTGACATAAAATACAGCACCTGCGAGACCTGCTATATTTGTTCATTATATTTGTTTCACAGTCTCTATCCAAATACTCAATAGAAAATAGAAATTATAAAATGTATAATGATAAATTACTATAAGAGAACGGCACGATGGTTATAATTTGAGTTAATAGTGTATTCATCAACAATTATTTATCACAGACAGTTTTTCGCGTACGCAGTGGTGACTTCGGGGCCGAACTGGTATGCTCATTGAACTATTCAACAGGTTATTCTGTACCTTGGTCACGAGGCCCGATCAAGATATTGTTCGGCCCCCGTCGGGAGGCGATTTCCAGAGAAACGAGCAGGTATAACGAACAATGCCATTGGTCCGTGTCCCGGACACTTGACCGTCGCGTGTGCAGTCCAATAACAGGTTGGCCATTAGTGATTTTTGAAAATTTAAAAGAAATTACAAACTATTGTATACAAATACTTTCTACACCCCTCAACGTATACGAAAATACCTAACTTAATCAAAAAAAAAACTTTTTTGATTTCAAATTGATATTTGAATTAGAAAAAAAATAATTGTCTTACCCATAAAACATCACCAATAATTTTAAATAGTGATACCTAGTAGCGACGAAAATGAATAAAATTTATTTTATTTTTATTAAATGCTTGGAATAAAAACTTTTGAGTAAATGTATAATGTTTTTAAATAATTTTATGTATCGTTTTGGAAAATGTTTGACCATTTTGAGTTTTGGACAACTTTTTTTAATTTTGAACCACTGTGCGCCGCCACCCCGGGTGGTGCGTACTGCGTATTACCTAACCAGGTCCACACCAGTGACGTATTTACGGGGGGGGGATCAAGGGGATCAATCCCCCTCATAGGATGTATATGATAGGCAACATGTTTCGGAGTCCTAACTTGAGGCGTCTAGCTTTAAAAGTGGGACTACTGAATAAAATCATATCTCCCCATGACGAAAACCTAAATACGCCACTGGTCCACACTACACTACAAGCACGGTATAATTCTTAAATAATACAAACCTTATACCTACCATGACCAATTAAATTAAATTTTTTATGATACCTACTTACTGGTTACAGCTATGCGTAGGCCGCGCTTGAGCCTGAAAGCCGATTTGGTCGGATCGTTCGGTCCCGATGAATTTATTGCGCATTCGTCAGGAACACGGACTAACAATTATAATTTACAGGAAATAATAGACCTATTAACTAAGTTTGATAGTTAGTTAATAGGTCGATGCAGGAAACGACCTGAAATAATCCGCAGAGTTCAGCTACTAAATAGTTAAGAATACTGGGTAAATAATCATATATTTTACTTATCTATGGTACCTATAAATGTTTTCAGCGGGCATATGTAAACTCCCCTAAATTTTTGTAAATTCCCCTAAAACTATTTTGCTACTGTATTACGCTTACGTAAATTCCCCTAAAAACATTTTGCTACCGTATTATGCTTACGTAAATAATCAAAAACATTTTACTGTTTAAACACAGTAACTACGTGTACTTATTTATTTATTAAAATTTAAAACGTCGCAAGAGCATAATTTTGATTAAATATTATGATATTATGATTAAATATTATTTTGAGATATTTTTTCAATTTCAACCGTTCAGTTCGGCTCGTCAGGATTTTTATCTATAAGTACTTATACAGTTCAAATTTAATCTTAATCGCTTAGGTATTCTCTTGTATAAAGCGAGATTATAGTATTGCTATATCATATACATTATTAAATTACGACAGTCCTTTTTGACGGTCGATTACTTTTATTTATCTGTCGTCTGTCGATATCGACGATATTAATTGGGTAGGTTCGTTGTAAAAATATGCGATTTCTAGACTTTTTGAAGACATAACAATTTAGTTTCTTTCAAAAGATAACAGTCTAACTATTTTCCCTTCTCAGTCAATCACATACTGTCGTCGTTACTTGATATATATTATTCTGTAATACATTTATAACATTGTTTGTGTTTCGTGTGATATTTTAACATACCTAAAGTGTTAATTAATAAATAATATATAGGTAGGTATGTCAGAAATTCAATTTATTACCAGTGAACGCAGTCGTTCATTAATCTATATATATAAAAATGGAGACAAAAAATTCGAAATTGCATCAGTTGAGAACGGCTGGGCCGATTTTGCTCAAATTTTTTTAAAGATGTTCGTAATTGCCAGGTGAAGAGGTTTTTACGAAATAAAATTTTTAAAAAGTCAACCGAATAATTAGAAAAACTGCAAAAACTATTTATTGATGTCAGGGATTTGAACTCGATACCGTTGTCTTTATTTACTCTATTGTGTATTATATTATATTGGTTGCTATTGGTTAATCGGGCATGTTTGTTGATTTGTATTATTATTTTTTGTAAATATATCTTATATATAAATGAATGACGGTGTGTAGATTAGACCTATGGGAAGAAGATACGCTAATTTAAAAAGGGTTAAATTTGTTTTTTTTTATTCATCGGATTTTAGTACGGTTAGGTTAGGTTAGGATTTATAGGTAAGTGGAATTAAGTAAAACCATCAAACTTCGTATTACTTTGGTACTTTTTGAGTTAAATCATACACTTACATACAAACAGCACGGGGTCCGCGATCTAACGCAGGTAAATTACCTATCTGATAATGTACTGCTGCAATTCAGAATTTTTATTCCGGCAACAGAAAAGTTAAGATAAATCTAGAACATCATACACCGAATATTAAATAACGCATTGAACAATGTTTGAGTCATATAGAGTTGGTACATTTAAAGGGAAACGAAGTGCACGGGATCAGCTAGTTTTATATAAAATGTATAAATATTATTTTGAACGTACATTGATGCAAACTGGCGAAAAGAAGTGGCGTTGTTGCGTTAAGGGGTATGCATACCGACCGTTTCTAAGGAGTTCGGTATAGACAATTTTCTAATTGTATGTATGCGGGTCGTGTAAATGTGTGTGTGTAGTAAGTGATTATTAGTGTGAGTGACTGTGTATAAAATAAATAGTGGACCACACCCGCACGTGCACGCACATGTCATTAACGGAACATTTTACACTCTAATTACAAATGTGAATTTTAGTGAACCACTGAAACTTAGTTTTATATTTCCAATAATATAGCTTACTGAGTGACATTACAGTCTGTCCACGAAGCTATTGAGCAACTTAATATAAACTATAAAGACAATCCAAGACGAACATTTTGTATTAACAAATAATGTAATAGATAATTTAATAATTTTTTCATGTAAATCAAATTTAAAGAGCTTTTTGTCAAGCAGAAATTGCATATCTTGATGGAACATTTGATTTCTGTGCTAAATTGTTTTACCAATTCGTAAGTTTCCATGGTTATTTAAACAGTCATTATGTTCCTTTATTATTTTGTTTATTAAAAGATAAAAATGAATCAACTTATAAACAATCTTTTCAAACAATAAATGAACTATGTAATGAAATTGGTAGCGAATTTTAACCATAGCCATCCAAATATTTTTATATTTATTGATACATTAAAGAATATTCAATCAGAAATTTACATAAAATTACAAAGTATACATAAACCAAATAGTTGTCATAATAATAAGTTAAAAAGACGACAACAATTATTAAACCAACTAATACAAAATTATAAAGATTCAAAAAATAACTAAATTTCATTATATAAAAATAATTTCACATTATTACTCAATCAAAAAATAATCAACATCAACAATATCTACAATCAACACTTAATAATTTTAATAAAACTAGAATGACAATGAATATGAATTTTTCTAAAGAGTTGAATTTTTCTATAAAGAAAAAACAAAATATTTTTGGAGGATAACTAGAACCGCCTATGGTTAACAGTAAATGGATCTAATTTTATTTAGGGGAGTTTACGTAAGCGTAATACGGTAGCAAAATGTTTTTAGGGGAATTTGTAATATTAATATTATAATATTCCCAATATTTTGATAATAATAATAAAAAATATCGCAAAACGTAATTTATAGAATATCATTAAACGAAAAATAACTCAAAACAAAATTATTTGAAAATTGTAAATCCATTTATTTAAAAGTAAGGTATATTTTTTTCGTAGAAATTTATTTTATTTTATGTTACCCATTTATTTTTGTTTAGGAAAAAAATCTAAGAATTGATCATATTATACTCCGTATCCGGGACATTTTTTTGGAGTTATTGATAACTTTTTAATTGAATTGCCAATAGCAAATACCTAGTATAAAAATAATAATGATTAATGATGCCCCAATAATTGAGCAGTAGAAGTATAGAGTATACCTAATCTTATTTTGTATTCACTCTGTACTTTGTCTACTCTGTAGTCTGTACTACTGTGGTCCTCTTGTGAGTGTTAAAGTACCTACTGTTGTTAAAACATCCTTTCGTTTATATTAGCTATACATATTAAAACAATAAACTCAATCATGGGTAGAACAATTTCGAACCCAGTACTGTAAATGCAAAGGTGGGCATTAATTTGTTACAAAGTTAAAGTTAAGTTAAAAAATTATTTTTTTTTTAACTTTTTAACTTAACAAGTCAATTATTTTTGTTTTTATCTTATTAACTTATTGAGTTAAAATGTCCAACGTAATTATATAAAATACCTAGGTGTTAGGTATATAGAATACCATTTATACCAATATTAAATATTAATAAAATAATAAATTATAATTTTTTGGTAACGATGTTGAAAAAAATTAAGTAATAAATTTCTTATAGGATTGTTGGAAAATATTTGGTAAAATAACGTTTTTATTCTAAATAATGATAAACCCAAAACTTGAGTAACGTTTTAATTCTGAATAATGATAAACACAAAAATTGGATAACGTTTTAATTCTGAATAACGTAAAACGGATTTTTTTTTCAAATGCAAGCCCTGATAAATATACATTAAACATTTTTAGGTTTAAAATTATTTTCTTAGGTGTTTGTGTTTATAGGAGGTAATTTTGAGATTTGGGAAGGCCGAAGCCTAAGCCATACAATTATAAAATTGAATAAGCTAAAAAAAATTTAGTATATGTTTGGGAAGGCTGTTAAAGTTGTTGGTGGAGCTTGGCTACAGTTGGCCCTTTTTTCGCATATGGTACGTAAGATTTTTTAAGTATCTTTGTGACAAAACTACAATAATTGACGCCTAGATTCTAGGTTGTACAAAAAAATAAAAAACAGTAGACACGTGTTCGTTTATCTCGGTGTTCGCATATCACGTTATTCGTTATTACTTATTTATGAACCTAGTATTTTACTATTTTATGCCAGTATTTTAAAAAATTAAGTTGATTTATTTCACAATAGTTTAAAAATGTCCAAAACATCTAATAATGTCCCTCTGTATAAAATAAATATAAATATCAAATTAGTAAACCCGTGTATAAATTATTGTGCATGTTTATTTTATATACCTACTTATTTTTTAGTTTTTATTACCAAAATTGTAATATGTTTTATAAGTTTTTCAAAAATAATATAAAAATGTAGCTGCATATTATATTTAAGCATAATTTGACAATTTTGACTGCTTATTTCGATAATTTTTAGTGCAACAAGTCAAGTCCCGAGCAATAAATTTATTTATATACGAAAACTGTAAAAACTTGGTTTTTATCTATACTTAAACACCTCCCATTTATAATCCTGGCTACGCCACTGTATTTGTATATTCAGAGCTGCGCTTGATTTCAAATCCTTTGGATTTTCAAAATCCGAAATCCAAAATGAATTCGTAATTATGATTTTGTATTAGGTTTTTCAAAATCTTTTATTCAGTAATTTTGGACTTGGATTTTAAAAATCATTTTTTCAAAGATTTTGCCCAGATATGTGTGTATATTACAACCCTATAGATATCTAGAGCACGTTCATAACCGGTTCTGCAAGGGAGCCTGGTTCCATCAAAGCTTCATCTTCATTGAATCAATATAATATATTATAGACAATTGTATTGAGCAGAGAAGTAAATTAGGTAATACATAATTCATAAAAAAATAATAAATTATACATAATAAAAAGTTGAGTGTGATTTAATTAGGTACCTAACAAAGCTTAAATAATACAAAAACTAAAAGATTACAATTAAAATAAATTAATACTCTTATTTTTCATACTTGAGTGCATAAGTTTTTCATGACAAGAAGGTTCAGATCGTATAGCAATTGCATTCTTTTTTTATTTGTTGTAAGATATTGTAGTGTGCAAAATGAATTTATTTATTCATAATATCAAATTTGAAATTGAAATGTGCATATTTTTACATACCAGTATAATTTATAAACAATTAATATAAAAATGAGTGTCGCGGACAACAACCGTTTCTATAGATAACTTAATTATTAAATGTTAAAAAAATAAATAATAACAGTATTATACATTTTAAATTCTATGCTTTCTAATTAATTTAAGCTGTTCTATATTAATGGCTAAAATTGATTTTAATTTTATATAGATTTTCTTAAGTAGTGTATATACCCTGTACCCACCGAGAATTTAACTAACCATGACGGCATGACGTATGATGGTGCGCAGAAGATCAAATTTTTGTCAGTCAGCAGTATATTTTCTTTCTGAGCAGAGCATAATATAATATACTTGGTTTTTATCTCACTGCTTTTGTATAAATAAAAATAATTTTGGCTTTTAAACACAATAATTACATAATATATCTATTTTTAAATACAAAATTTAATATAATGAAATAACTAAATTTATAAAATATTATAATATTATAATATTACAGTTATAATATTTTATAACTGTAAAGATATATAAACTCATTACCTATTTTACCAATTACTTACTAATATTTTTAATAGGTATTTTGTTTCAACTAAATGGCCTAAGGAGCATGGATGGGGCGTTGTTAATCTATATTATATTTTTTCTATTACCCATGTAACACAATTAATTATTATTAACACAAAATTATATATGACAAAATATGTAACATAATTTATTATATTTAAATGGTATATCTGCATTTGATTACTTGGTATTATGTTTATGTTAAGTCAATTATCGACCATAAATGTTGACCAACGCAATTAAATGTGTCAACGGTTTCCAAAATAAAATATGACATTTAATAGTTTAAACCGTAAAGTTAAAAACACTTTTTTTTTATAATCCTAAATTAAGACTAAATTAATTTAAAATACCTGTATTTAGGTTTTTTATTTTGTTCATTAAGGCATTATGTATTTCAATCAAGTGACACCACTCCACCATTTCAGTTGATTTAAAGTTCTATGATAAAATAAAATTAGTGAATATAAATAAATATACAATTTCAAATATTCAATTTTTATCTTTACCCAACTTACATCTGCATATGCTTATTGGAATACACATGAAGAAAATTCCATATAAATTCGGTAGGTACATCCATCTAAAGTTGTCAAATGCTTAAGGTAAGCATTCCTAGGTGTGTCAAGACGTTATGTTTTGAAACAGCGTTTGACGTCACGTCAGGCTCACTTTCGTAAACTGTGTCTAGGCGTTGTATTTAGCTTGTTAACATAAACATGGTTATGTGGTGAATTAAAAAAAATAACTTGTGGGTAGCCTGTAAACTAATATGTATTTCAAACATGCGGTAGATGTTTGTTAAAAAAATATGCAACTCATTAGACAATAACTATATTTATAGGTAGATTTATTTGCATCAGGCATTAGCAAAAATTTATTATTTATAATGGATACATTAAAAACTCTTGGTATACCTATCTGTTATTGAAAATATATGTAGATAGCATAATATTAAACATTTGTTTAAAATCGAATATTTAATAATATGTAGCATATTCAAACAAATCTATAATAGTTATGTTTATATTTTTAATTTTTAATATTAAAATAATATCAGTATCAAAAATGTAAAATACTTTATTGGACTTACATATCCAAATATGCTATATCCAATACTGAAAATAGTCTATAATATTCAATTTTTATCTTTGCCCAACTTACATCGCATATGCTTATTGAAATACACATGTAGATTCACATTAATATTAAAATAATATCAGTACCAAAAATATAAAATACTTTATTCTACTTAACTATACACAAATACTGAAAATAGTCTATCGTTTTATCACTATAAAATTATATAATATTATATGTAGGTACTTATTATCTACCTAATTTCACTATACAATAACTCTTAATAATTTAATATTATTTTGATGAACTTCTAGTGAATCATAGCAATACTTAGGTATTAGAGTCACTAAAACAAATTTCAAAAACACGGTTTAAAAGAATCTTTAATAGTGAAAAAGAAAAGAAAACCAACAAAACCCAAGTTTTGAAAGGATTTTCAGGAAGGATTTTTTGAAAAACTAATTAAAGGACATTTAGTGAACAATTAAAAATTATTTCAAGAATTTTTTAGATTAAAATTTAAATAGCTTAATTTTGTTTTGTCACTAGTGAAAAATGACATCTCTTCTGAGCCATACAATCAAGTACAACAGTCGAATACACCTGAAGACAAATTAGCATTATATTTGAGGTAGTATAGTATATATATTCAAATAAATAAATGATTACTATTTTATTTGATTTATAAATGAATGAAATAACAATTTATTTTAAAATAGGACAATGTAATTAAATTGATAATTATTTATTTATTTATGTATAATAAATATTTTATGTGAGCAATACAGGCCGTTTACATTTATTAAGTATTTTACGGTAAGAAATAAAATTAAAACAATAATAATGAAATTACAGATACTAAATAATGATAATTTGACAATGATAAATTTATAAATGATAATAGTAACAAAGAACACTAAATGTCTAAATCACTCAATATAAATGACATATAAAAACTTGATTACAGAAATAACAGAAATACTCGATATAAAAAATAAAAATAAAATTTGTATAATTATAATTATGTGTAATAGTTAAAATATAAAATAAATTTAATATAATATGAAGTAATCTTTTTATATCTGACTAATGATAAAAAATTTATCGATATCAAAATAAGTTGGGAGTTTAAAAAAGTTGATTACAAGGTCAAGCAATAATAGGTGTAATTTCTGTTACAAAAATTGTGAAGCTATAATATTCAGTTATAAAACAATAGTAGATACATTAATAAATGAGATTAAAAATGAATCTGATAAAGATGCAAATTAAGCTATTGGTAAATATTTTGATAAATGTATTTCATGTTTTAATATGTAGATTATATAGATACGTGTTGTTAATTTAAAGTTAATGTCTAGGGTACCTACTATTCCTTATTATTTTTTCAGGAATTTTAACCAATATGAGAAAAGGACAATCCATTGTATATTTGTTTCTTTTACAGACATTTTTAACAATAATTCTTATTTTAACAAGAAAATTGCAAGAAAAATATTTGACTTTTGGAAATTCAGAAATTATTATTAAATCTATAATCAAATCCTTAAAGGATTATAAAACCATCTCGAATGTTTTGCAGAAATTTGGTTGGATAAATTTGCAAAAGTCAATAATATATCTATTGAAAATCCATTCCAAGGTATAATACCTAATTAACTGATTACTTAACTACGTTATTATTAAAAATGATTATAGTGTTAATTATATTTTAATTTAAAATTTAGGAAATAAACAAAAAAGAACAGAACCAAATGATCATAAAAATTTCATTGTCACTTAAAGCACTAGTGCACAGTACACTGAACCTACACAAAGTAACATGCAGACAACTGAAGATTTCTACAGAATAAATGCATATTATGTGATTCTTGACACACTAGTTAAAAAGTTAAAAGAAAGATTTTTGAATGATAGTTTACAAATGGGCATGTCTGTTGATAACTTGTATCAATTCAAATTCTAAGATAGTCAATATTTTATTTATCATTATCAAGTAAGAGGGGGGGGGGGAGTGTGCTATTAGGACTGCTTATTTTGCAAAGAAACATTTTAAAACATTTAAGCCAGCCCTAAAATTCAATCATTTCTCAGTATCAGAATTAATTCGAGTTAACACAGGTGGTAGTCGTTTTTGATTATATCTAGTTGATACAGGTGGTTTTTGATAATAATATGGAAATAAAGTTGGTGGAATATCTGGGTAATGTAACCGACTTTGTTCACACTTGACTGTATCCAAGAACGCAACACCAGGTTTTTTTGTCGCAATTTCAGATCCTGCACCTAGTTATGTAAATAGAATTAAATTAATATATTACAAAAGTACACAAGTCTTATGATAAAAGTCATTAGTACATTTTAACTGTTTTCAGGAATTATTGGATTTAATGATATTCAATATTCAGATGAACATGGCAAAAAACAGCATCTTGCAATGAGGAAATGAGATAAATTATGAAAGAATAAAACAATAATATATATCTAAAAGTGTGTTTCCGAACTTATACAAACTACTAAAAGTACCCATAACCAATACCAATCAGCTGGGCTACATGTGAATGAAGCTTTTGTGCAATGTGCAAAGTTAACACATGGTTACAAAAATAATAATTTTTAAAGTGCATAAGTACCTAGTCAGTAATGGGTATTTAGTAATTTTTTAGTTAATGCATACTGAAGGTCATATTGATATTATAGAGGGGGTGTGCTATTAGGGCGGCTTATTTTGCAAAGAAACATTTTGGCCAGCCCTAAAATTCAATCATATCCCAGAATCAAAATTATATCGAGTTATTAAATTATTTTGTGCTAATAAAGAAATCTGTATAGACATACATGTCATATAGATACGATAATTTGTAAAAACTAACCAGTGGGTTGGCGCTCGGCCATATAAAACCAAGTCATCATACGATTTGTGGTCCAAAGAAAATTTTGTCTATATAGTGACTTACCTACAGGTTGATTGTTCTTTCGTTTAGATTCTAAACCATCATTTGTCTTTTCACTAGTTCCAGGCCGATCGTTCAGTGGTTCATTTCTTACACCATCATTTGTCGTTTCAGCATACGCGTTTTGTTGTGTTCTTCTTCTTGTACGAGCCATTGATTTAGTGGTTTTGTGCTGTTGTAAAATGATGCAATAAGACAAGATGGAGTAGATATTATAGACTGTTTGTTTTAGACCTTACGGCTTACAGACTACAGACTACAGAGTTGAAAGACGTTAACTCAGTACAGTCGGGGTACGAAAAATGAGCGATGCCCGGTGGCCAAGAATATAGATAATAATATTACGTACCTAACCTAACCTGCACCCTGCTTCCCACCACTTGTTGCTGACATCCGGCATTATAGCCAATCACTCTCATCCACGATTGAAGATATCTTAAATCGTGCTGTCATCATGGTTCAGTTGCCATTCTGCCGCAGTGTTGCCACATTTAAATAGTTCATGGATTGGGATGAAATTTATGAAATTACAGTATGGGACCGTAAACCGGTTTTTAAAGAATTACCGTACCAAATCGGTAGTGGTGAGAAACTTAATATAAAAAAATTAGCGGAGTAGCCACTAACGTATATTGACAGGAAATCGAGTTATAACATTGAAAAACGGTCATCATATTTTATGTCAATCCTTTGTCAACCTCTACGGGGCAAACGGCTGAACATATAAAGTCGTATAAGGTATCAATCGGTCAGAAATATTGTACAGATGGGAACAGAGGAACTCGCTAGCAGATTGGTTGGATAGTGTATAAGTTATAAGCAAAAATGTTCAAGTACAAGTACAGTACAGGAGGCCAACTGGCCAACGATGCATGCTATATGAATATGGATTATTATTATTATATATACAGTCAAATAAAATCGGGACTTATTTTATAAAAAAAAAAAATAGCTGACATCACACCAAAAACACTTCGTTATAACTCCGTGACAAAAGTGCTAAGTTAAAAAAAAAAATCCTTAATGATTAAAACTTTAAAAAAACGTGATATAATATGGAAATTAAGTAAAATGCCATTTTATAATATTACAAATACCTTTGATGATAAATTAGATCAATTGTAATGTTAAATACTTAGTCAACATAATATTATGTTTAACTATATGGTAGGACGTTGAAGTGTACTTAAATAAATACAATTAAGTAACCACTAGTCACTACAGTATTTATAGTAATTAATAATATATCAACAATATGTTGACTAAGTATTTAATATTACAAATTTATCAAATTTATACAAACATATCTTATTTGTCATCATAGGTATTTGTAATACTGTAAGATTTAATCATTACTGAATTTTTTTTTTAACTTAGCTTTTTTTGACACGGAGTTATAGCAAAGTGTTTTTGTTGTGATATTATTAATATGATATAAGCACAGGTATTAATATTAAACATATTATTATGGTGCATAGAAAATACTAATATAAACATTCAGTCAACATTATATGTATCCACGGTAATTTGTTTTATAGTTAAGCCAAAAACCAAAATCGGTTTTGCTTAAAAATTCCCGTTTTTCTTTAATTTCTCTTTTGTTTTTCGCAGCTAAGGAAAACGACTGGAAAATTTTTACTTTTGACCCCCCCAAGTACCAACTAGATTCAATTTCCTATCAGAAAAGATACTGATACTTATATTTTATTATTAGATTTTTTTTATTTTTTTATTAGTGTAAGACTTAATAGTATTTTTAGATTCTGAGCGGAGCAAGGAAGCTAGTGGTTTTACAATGGTGTTTATTTTTTTTTTATATCCTGTATACAAAATTTCTACCAGGAGGAGTGCTTTGATTTCAACATATAGTACCTTATCTTTTAGCAAATTGGACCAAGATGGTACTTTAGAGAGGTCATTTTTCGATTTTCTCAATAGTTATTTAATGCCACGGGAAAAAGTACTGAAAAAATTACGAAAAACCGCTTAAAATGGGATTTTAATTTCTAACAATTTGTTTATCACCGTAGCAACGAATAAAAAAAAGGCAGGTAAGTGGATGTCGCTCAGCTGTACAGTAGGTTACAAGTTGGTCATTGTTTAATGGATTGTATTAAACTTGAATTCAATGATATAATATCATTGTATAAGAAAAACGATTCTGAACGGAGACGGTTTGCCAGTCTGTATATTTTATATTGTCATTAATTATTTTATTTATTTTATTATTATTTTTTTTATTCGTTGCTACGGTGATAAACAAATTGTTAGAAATTAAAATCCCATTGTAAGCGGTTTTTCGTAATTTTTCAGTACTTTTTCCCGTGGCATTAAATAACTATTGAGAAAATCGAAAAATGACCTCTCTAAAGTACCATCTTGGTCCAATTTGCTAAAAGATAAGGTACTATATGTTGAAATCAAAGCACTCCTTCTGGTAGAAATTTTGTATACAGGATATAAAAAAAAAATAAAAAAAAAAATAAAAAAAATAAACACCATTGTAAAACCACTAGCTTCCTCGCTCCGCTCAGAATCTAAAATAATAATTAAATAAATAAAATAATTAATGACAATATAAAATATACAGACTGACAAACCGTCTCCGTTCAGAATCGTTTTTCTTATACAATGATATTATATCATTGAATTCAAGTTTAATACAATCCATTAAACAATGACCAACTTGTAACCTACTGTACAGCTGAGCGACATCCACTTACCTGCCTTTTTTTGTATTAAGGTTTAACAATTTTGATTTTAATAGTTCGTATATATAGGAATGATTTTATAAAACATTTATAATTTTATAATGTTAATAATTTTAATATTCATTTTTTTGTATGATTTTTTTTTCGCTAAAAGTTTAAAATATGATGATTATAGGCCAGAATTTTTTTTTTCATTTATTTTAAGTTTCCAATGTTCAATTATTTTTTGAATATTAGATATTTATTTGGTATAGATATATTTACTTATTTAATGTTCATATTTGAGGTATCTGGATTATTAGAATTAGATTAGTAAATAATATTGACGATTCCCCAAAAAAGGGAAACGTAATTTATAATAAAAAACTAAATTATTTTATAACTTTTTTAAAGGGTTAATCATTTTAGTTAAAATTTTTGTGATATTTAACATGGAATAGGGATTATATTAATTTAATATCTGCATGATCCTTGACGGTTATTATACTAAAAATGTTTGATTACTGATCATTTTTCATTGATAAAGACGTGACAATTTTTTACTGTCATGATTTTAGATATAAAAAAAAATGTTAACTTTAAAAAATCCAATTAGGCCCAGAGCGAACATTATTATATATTATTACTAATTTTATATAAAATATGTGATATATGGATGTAATTGTATACAAATTGTATGCACAAAATGTACTGTAGCCTGTAGGTATATAGAAGACAAAAATGCTGAAATAAGCCACTTTTAAGATGTTTTTTTAACGGTTTAAAAAGTCCAAGTGATTCAGAATGAACATTATTTTACTACCTACCTACTTATATATAATATGCTAGTAATATGAAACAGGCACCTTCATAATATGGAGTGTAGTTACTCGTTAGTTTGGTAATAATAATGATTATATTTTACCTTTTCACTGTTATTATAGTACACATTTTGTTTTAAGATGGTTTTTTTTGTTTTAGTACCTATAAGTATACTTATTTACATTTTTTGTGTTTGTGCGAATTGTAAGATAAATATAATACATAGGTTATAAATATCCATGCACTTAAATACATATGGGGTGATCAACGTGTAAAAAAAATATTTTCAAAAACGTTAATAATTGTTGTAAATAGTCATACCTACCTTATGAGTGTCTTACGTTAAATGGATCATCCGGTATATATTATATTATAATAATATGTAGGTACTTATACCACAATGAGGTTAGTTGCAGGTGGTCGGCTAATCAGTATATTAGGTTTATTTTGAACTGCTTATGGCTATTTTTTTTTTTTTAGCGAGTTTTGGACATTTCTGGGTCACCGCCGCCACCTATACCGCCGCTGATTATCGTCTATTGTCCCGACCCATTATGAATATATACTAATAAACTAAAACAATAATATTAATTAATTATAATAGGTAATAACAATGTTGTCCGACGGCAATCAGCGGTCATTATTGCAAACGGTGTAACATTTGTAAGCAACCGCAACGATAAAACATAATAATAATAATAATAATAATAATAATAATAATGTTGTTCACGATGATTATACGGTCGCGAGCTGCAAAATATAATATTTTGTAGTCTTCTCTATGGTCCGACCCAATATTGTAGGTACGTAATAAAGCTAGTACAAAATATTGTTTATTTACGTTTTGTATAGGTAGGTACTAGATATACTATATTATTACGTACAGATTTATTAGTTTTCACGTTTTTCTTTTACAGGACAATATTATTATGTCTCCGGCCTGGAGCAGGAAAGAGTCAACGAAAATGCACATTGAGCAACGGTCCCGTCTCACTGCAACTGAAGCTGACGCTGAGTTGGATTCGATAGTTGGATTATTGTAAGTTATTGTAACGATAATTAATAATAATAACGACATTATAAAATCATAAAGGTCATAGCTAGGTAGCAGTCTTGTAAAGTATTCGATTAAAAGTATTTGAATAATATTATAAATACTTTTATTTGTATTTTTATTCATTAAAAAAAATACTTTTTTCCGATCCAGAAAAATAGTTATACATTTGTGACAAGATATAATATTATAAATCATGAACATTAATTTTATTCTTTGAACGAAATTATATAATATTGGCCCATGATATTTATGATTATTCTTATAAACACCAATGTGTTGAATCCCGTATCCCTTATCGAAAGTATTATAATGGCCCTTATCGAAAGTATTATAATGGCCCTTATCGAAAGTATTATAATAATATTATAATATCATATTATGATGTGTATGTTACATTTGTCCGCTTAAAATAAGCACCACCAATGTTATTATATCTACCTACTTAAAATAATTGTAGGTCGCTTTTTTTTGGACTTAAAGTTTTTGTGCATTCAAAAATATGATCAGCTCTTAAAATGCCAAATATTTTTATGTAAAAATAACGCACTTCTAATAACTGTGGACACTTGATATTTGGCAGAATCG